CAAAAAAAAAAAAAAAAAAAAAAAAAAAAAAAAAAAAAAAAAAAAAGAACAAAACAACAACAAAAGGGGGCTGCTGAATGGCTCAGCAGGTAAAAGTGATTGTCAGATGAGGCAAGCAACCCGAGTTTGATTCCCAACTCCTCTGACATCCACATGCGTGTGGTGGCACAAACATACCCACACACAAGCATCATACACATAATAATAAAAACAAATAAATGATAGATAATAAAAGAAATAAGTAGAATCAGGCATGGTGGCACAGGTTTGCAATCCCAGTACTTGGGAAGTAAAGGCAGAAGGATCAGAAGTTTTAAGGTTCTCCTCAGGCATACGGAGTTCCAGGTCAGCCTAGACTACATGAGGCCTTCCCATAAAACTCAAAAACAAATTCCCTCTGTATAGGACCAAGTAAGTGCTACTTGGGGAGTGAATGCAAGGAAGTCCAGTCCTAGTGGGGGCAGGTCTTCCCCCTCCAGGGTTGAGAGACCAGCACCAATAGTCCTTAAAGACCTGGCTTTCTAGGAACAAGCAGAATGCTACTGGGGGAAGATCCACACTGAGAACACTTGCCTGTGGGAGTAGGGTACAACCCCAGAGGACAGACACAGGCTAAAGAGCTTCACCGCCTGCTGTGATTACAGCCCTAGGCACAGCAGTCAAGACAGCCTTCCTAGAAACAGCAAGAAGAGAACTTACCAGTCTCCTCATCCTTCGTGTCCAGCCTCAGAAAACAAGGACCCTCTCTGCTTCCCACATTTGGACGTTTTTTACAATTCTGTTGGTGACGTCCCAACACCACCAGGATCCCCAGTGTCTAGATTCTTTTCAACAAGCTTTCAATGAAAGGTAGAAAAAGCTATCTCTAAGAAAACAGAACTAAAGAACTGAAGAGATGGCTCATCTGTAAAAGGGGGCACTGAGCTTGCAGAAGACCTAAGTTAGGTTCCCAGCACTCACATCAGGCAGCTCACAATTTCTTGTAACTCAAGCTCCACAGGCTTCCATATGCCCTCTTCTGGCCGCAACTGGTACCTGCACTCACATGCACACACTCTCATAAAATACACACACACACACATTAAAAATTAAATAATGGGGGGGGGGCTGGAGAGATGGCTCAGTGGTTAAGAGCATTGCCTGCTCTTCCAAAGGTCATGAATTCAATTCCCAGCAACCACATGGTGGCTCACAACCATCTGTAATGAGGTCTGCTGCCCTCTTCTGGTCTGCAGACATACACACAGACAGAATATTGTATACTGTATACATAACAAATAAATAAATATAAAAAAATTAAATAATGAAGCCAAGCGTAGTGGCTCAACATTTAATCCCAGCACTTCAGGATGCAGAGGCAGGCAGATCTCTGTGAGTTCAAAGCCAGTGTGGTCTACAAAGCGAATTCCAGGACAGCTAGGACTGCTACCCAGAGAAACCCTACCTCAGAAGTATTTTTTTTAAATAACGAAGAATATTTAAATAAAGAAAACAGTATACAATACTGCATACCCGTGACCTACATTCCTCTCCACACCACAGTCGGTTGCCAGTGTCATGCCTTAAAGTGGCTGTCAACCAGCGTCTCCAATGCCTTGAGAGCAGATCAGGACCGCTTTCTGTGCTGTCACATACAAGCCAGCACTGTAATATGCTCATTAAATGTTTCCTGAACAAAGCCTGCTTTACGAACTCCAATTCAGTTTGCAGCGCTACACTTCCAATCGAGGACGCAGTCCCAGCAAAGCCCCCTCTACTCCACAGAGAACCACCATTCCTAAATCCCTTAACAAAGACACCTCGGCGGACGCAGTCTAGCAGAGGAGCGAGTGGAGCGACCCTGAGCTCCCCGCACAGGTGCCGCGACCCCACCCTCCACAACAGATGCCACCGCAAACAATACAGACGGCGAAGGCACTAAAAGCCTAAGGAGCCCGCAAGCCTGAACTAGCCGGTAAGAAGGATAAAGGTGCAATTACAGCAATCGGAACGCTCAAGGCAAGTCCCAGGAGCTCAGAAGACGGATGCTGAGCGGCGCGGGCCGGGACTGGACAGCAGGAGCTAAACCGCCTGGATCCTCCACCTTCGCACCAGTCTGCGCGTGCGCAATCTCCACGCGCGGCCACGCCCACAGCGCACAGGACCCCGCCTAGTCCTTCTACTGTAACCAGTAAGCCCGGCGCGCTCCACTTCCGGAGAGGTGTCCTAGCAACTGAGGATGCGCAACTGCTTCCGGATCTGGCTTTTCCAACTGAGTGTCTGCGGCTTAGAGCCTAGAAAGCGCAGGGCACCCTGTCTGCGCGCCCTTCAGGGCGCAGAAACGAGAGCTTCAAGGGTGTGGGCCAGCGGGGAAAGGCTTGTCGCCAAACCTTATAACCTCAGTTCTGTCTCTGGAATCTACCTGCGTGATGGAAGGAGAGAAGAGACACCTGCTAGTAGTCCTTTGAGTTCCACTTGCGTGCTGTAGTGAATGTGCACACACGCACAATACAATAAATGAAATTAAAAAAAAATTAATGCGTATGGAGAAATGGGTCAGAGGTTAAGAGTATGCTGTGCTTTTGCAGAGGACCCGAGTTCAGTTCCCAGCACGCATGTCAGGCTGCTCAGGAACACCTGTATGTAACTCCAGTTCAATGTGATCCAAAGCCTGAAGTCATTGCCTCCATGGGCACCTACCTGCACACATGTCACACACACATGCGACACACATCACATACACAATAAAAAAAATAGGACTGGAGAGATGGCTTGGCAGTTAAGAGCACTGACTGTTCTTCCAAAGGACCCAGATTCAATTTCCAGCACCCACAAGGTGGCTCACACCCTTCTATTAACTATGCATGTGGTGCACTGACATCTATGGAGGCTAAACACATATATACATAAAATAAATAAGATTTAAAAATAAAAAATAGCAGGCAGCGGTGGCGCGCGCCTTTAATCCCAGCACTCAGAAGACAGAGGCAGGTGGATCTCTGAGTTCGAGAC